GAGCTTTGAATCATATTAAGTATGAGTTTTGAGTGTGCTTTCTGGAAAATTGGCCCAAGAGGATCGAAATTTTTGGTTTAAGACTTGGTTTTAAGGTTGAGGTTTAAATCTGGAAATTTCCAAAATTTGGACTCACGCTTGAGCGGGGTGACTGGCGCTCGAGCGTGGAAATTGTGCTCCCAGCATTTTGTTCTGTTTTGAAGTCCGCTCGAGTGGAATAATTAACGCTCGAGCGGGACATTGTGTCTCATGCTCGAGCGGGTGTCGAGCGCCCAATCGAGCGTGATTTTCGCCTATCCAGCACTTTTGACTGTTTTATAGAACGCTCGAGCGGGTAAGTATACGCTCGAGCGGAAACCTTTGTCTGCATGTCCGCTCGAGCGGAGTAACCTACGCTCGAACGTGACCCCTGTTTTCTGAAAAGTCTGAAAATGCTTTTAAAAGTGCATCTTTGCATCCTCATCTCATTCTAGGCATTCTTAGGCCTAGTTTAAGCATCTTAATAAGGATATAGATGTAGGACACACCGAGGTAAATTAGGGATTAAGTTATTATCTTCCCAACTGTGTAGCTTAGTGTGTGTTCAATTTGTTAACTGTGTAGGATTGGCTTTCTGAGGAGACGCTCTAGCTTACTGTAGCCCAGAACTCTGTGAGTAACATCTGTGTAAAGATATGTTCAAAATGATTATCTTCTGAACAATTGAACTGTACTGCTTTCTGAACTGATTACTGTTAACTGAATGAATGTATGTCCTATATTCTGAACTGTATTGTGGCATCCTTAGCACCTACTGTTTACTGATACTACTGCAGAGATCTCTGTCGGTTCCCTCGTTGAAACCACTACTGTTACTGACTGATGGCCATCATTCACTGCTCGGTCTTTTAAGACCTACTGTTTACTGTACTGTTATGCTAATGGATGTACCACATATGACTGTACTAACTGAACGACTGAAATACTGAATTAATGAACTGTTTTCATTACTGTAAGGACATTCATTCTTAACCCCTTTACGCATTGTGTTATTCACTAGGCTTTAGCTCACTGCTCATATATATATGTAGGTGTACAGGCACCAGATCGCGGCTAGAAGCGTCGGGATTAACTCCGATTTTGTCAAGCCAACCTATGTGCCTCAATGCGAGGTTCCGAGTCTGACATGCTATGGCTTAGGGGTCTTTTATTTCCCCCTTCTGTCTCTATATCTGTTTGTGAACTGTATAGACTGATAGCACTGTACTGTACTGTTATATAAGGGATTGAGTCCCTATTCTGGATGATGTAAATATTGTACATACTATTCTGTCATGTTACGTTATACGTATGAAAAGTCTTTTTGCATACAGACTGTCACAGCTCATTAAACATTGTTTATTTACTGTTTTGGCTTCCGCCAAGCCCTGCACTCTGTTTTACTGTATTACTGTTAAGCAGGCCTTCGGTAATCTCGGATTACTGGCCGGTTACGGTACTAAACCCATAGGGCCGGGTTTGGGCCGTGACACTCAACAAATTTGTTCTGACAAGAGTGGCATTAGCTTTGGCTTTGGTGGTAAGATAGAGCAAAAACAGAGTGCATCCATATCTCATGATACAAGAACTCAAGAAAAGGGAGAACAAAAAATTCAACATGAGGATGGACTTCTCAAACTTCCTAAAGTTGGTAAGGTCAAAGGAAAAAAGGTGCACTCTGTTTTTATTTGTCATCATTGTGGTATGCATGGTCATATTCGCCCTTATTGTTATGAGTTGCATGGAAGAATGTCTCATAGAGATGGAAGAAATTCCAACATCTTGTGGGGTAGGAGACACTTCATTGGTGGTAATGAGGTTAAAGGTCATATTAGACCTCGTTATTTTGATTTGCTTGAGACCAAATATGGAACGAGTTTGTATTTGCCTAGACCTAGAAATATTAAGTTGGAAACCATGTCGAGACAGGTTCCCATTGAAAGGGAAGGGAACCACAATGTCAAGACACCACCCAGGAACCGCCATTCTCACAACTTTGTTCATACTAAAACGGTTTGGGTGAGAAAACTTGACTTATGTTAATTTGTTTATTAGTTTTACTTTTTGGGTTTCTGTATTTTTTTTTTTTTTTTTTTTGAGTCATTTAGTGTGTGCATGTTTGTTCTCTGACTTGCTTTGTTTAGAAAAAAAAAAATGAAAAAAAAAATCCCAAAAAGATCTTCTTAGTATGGTTTTGCAAGCTTGAAATTTTTGAGTGGTCCTTGGTGTATATTTGAAATTTATGAGAATATCCATTACATGTTAATCTGTGTGTGCTTTCTGTGGTCATTACTCATTTCGGAGTGTGTGTTCTTTGATTAGTATGTCTCATTCTGTACACACTCTTGGATTAGCAAATATTGGAGTCTTCCGCTTTAGTGATTTTTTTTTTCTATGGACTTCTGGCATGGTATCTTTTGTTTTTCTAGAGAAATTGACCGATACTAGCATATCTTGGGTGATGTTAAGTCTCTTAACCACCTCCTATCTTTTTGCATCTCCACGGCTTACCCCTCTATTCTTTGTAGTCCAGCCCTAAGGAAAAGGCTACCTTAGAGTCACCAACTAGGCTATCCTTATTATATTCATGCTTCTCTGGTTCGGTTTCCATACTCTTGAACGTGTCAACCGCCAATGAGTGTGCAAAAGAAAGAAAAAATGTGCAAAAGAAAGAAACCAAAAGAAAAAAAAAATATGTGCAAAAGAAAGAAAAGAAAAAAAAAAAAAAAGGGATTCATTAATTGAGGAGGAGCCTCCGCTTTTACTCACCAAATACCCCTTGATTCCTAGTGGTTTGACTTTCCTTTGTTGTGCTTAGCTTCTCATACCGGAGGTCCAGCTGTCAGATCACTGCTAGGATTTGAATCTCGTGTTTCTCGAACTCCAAGAGTCACACACATACTTTTCTTATGGGATCTATGCTTTTCACATAATGCATCACTCTCTTTTATGAGGAATTTTCTAGAGGCTGTGCACATTGTGTTTTCAAGTAATTGTGCTTCTTGAATAGTCTTGTGTGTTTTAAGGTACAAATCTGAAATTTTCTGCTTGCTCCACCATATTATTTTTGTCGTTTTCTTCTTGTTTATTTTTCTCAATTTGTGGTTGCTATTAGTTTAAGGGAGTTTGGCATTAGTTGGTTTGTGTGTTGCTATCCACTACTTGTTTATTGCTTACATCTCGCAGGTTATTAATTTTTCCATCATCTTGTCCCTGTTTGTGTGTTTTTTGATCTTACTTTAGTTGATTGAGCTTCCTTTGTCAATTCGTGACAAAAAGGGGGAGAAAGTTGTTGTTCATGTTTTCATGCACATGTGTCGTAGTGTGATTTCATCCATTTATGTGTTGGGTGCATGTGTCTTAATTTTCATGTTTTCATGCTACATGTTCTTAAAATCTCCAATTTCCATCTATTCATTTTTTTTTTTATCTCATGCTTCAAGATAATGTAGTCATATGTTTATTGTTTTTTTATATACTCTTGTGGCACTAATAGTTGTTTTGGAGATTGTGGCACTAATAGCTGTTTTGCAGATCATGACCTTGAAAAAGAAGTTTGTGTTTGTTGGCTGTAATAGGTTGGGGTGATTAGGATTTTATTTGTTAGGTGTGTTTTGTCACGGCATTGCCAAAGGGGGAGATTGTTAGGTTTTTATTCTTGGCAACCCCGTTTGACAAAACTTCTTTAAGTTGTATTTTTTTTTTTTGCACTTTTTATTTCAGTGAGGCTATGAGTTTTTAGATGCGAATCCAACTTGCATTGTGCCTTGCAGAGAAGTATTGTGATGTTAATTCTTTCAAGATTGCAACTTCACTGATTATGACAGGGATCGAGCTGCCCGGTCAGCTCGCGGGGGTCGAGGGTGCAGCACCCCTTGGCGGGTCCGGGGCAGCGCCCAAGCAGGGTCAAGAGGCAGCGCTCCCGAAGCAAAATACAAAAATGCATTCAAAGTTGCCTGTCCGCTCGAGCGGAGAATGCTGAGTTCCAAAGGTTTGGTGAGTTTGCAAATATACTGTGATCTGTGTTTTCACGCTCGAGCGTCCATTTCCCCGCTCGAGCGTAAATCCAGGTTTGGAACACGTCATATAGTGTCCCCGCTAAAGCGTTCATTCCCACGCTCGAGGGGACCTCGCGATTTCAGATTCTATAAATTCGCATGTTGCTCCAAATCTAGGGTTACGACTCCAAATCTTCTTCTTGGATATTAGGGTTTATATCTGGGGCTATTTTACTAGTTTTATTTGATGTTTCATTGAGTATTCAACTCATGGTTTAAGGAGGATACATCAAAGGATTGTTTGTTCATTCTATACAAAAGAGAGAGTTGTTCTTCGGTGGATTCTGAAGAATTCGAGCTTGAAACTTTGGTGGATTCTAGAGTGGCTTATCGTCAAGACAATTCTGAAGTGAAGACGGGGTTGGAAGAGGCACATAGGGGTTAGTTCAATTCGGGCGTGGATTCGCTAGGTAATTGAGAGTATACCTGTGTAATTCTTTTATATCTTCTTAGTGGATTGTTTTGTGGCTGTTGCCCGTGGTTTTTTTATCATAATTGGGGGTGCTCCAATTGTGATTTTTCCACGTTAAAATCGTTGTGTCGATTTGTCTTGATTGTTTGATTGAAATTGTTTTATTACTTAAAATTGATATATAATCACAAATCAATATCTAGCGGATTTCTAGATTTTTCAATAAATAAATAAAATCTCAATTTGGGCAATTTAGGATTCAGTGCAGTTTCAATGTTGTCCTTAGATATTCATTATTTGCTTTGGTTGTTGGTTTGTTGCAATTTAGGATTGTTTGATTGGGATTGTTTTATTACTTAAAATTGATACATAATCACAAATCAATATCTAACGAATTTCTAAATTTTTCAATAAATAAATAAAATCTCAATTTGGGCAATTTAAGATTCAGTGTAGTTTCAGCGTTGTCCTTAGATATTCATTATTTGCTTTGGTTGTTGGTTTGTTGGCAGGTTGTGTATTTGCTAGTGGCACCAAAACTACTAAGAGAAGAGAGAGTACAGTTGATGTTGACAATACTTCAACTAATTTTCATGTTGCAGTTCCTCCCAAAGGTGTATCATAGTTTTTCTCTGATGTAAAGAATGAGGAAGGTCACTGGCTACATCTTTGGCTCCATTTGGTGGGGTTTTGGCCTTAATCTCATTGCCTACTTCCTTGCCTCCCATGTATCTCTCTCTCTCTCTCTCTCTCTCTCTCTCTCTCCCAAACGCACCCACGTTGTTCCTTACCTCCTTCCCCATCTCACCTTCCATGAGCTCTCTCACCATTTTCTCCAAACCCTGCCACTTAAAGCGCAGCCCTCTTCACTGTGTCCTCGATGATTCAGCGATCGATCTTCCATAACCCCACTTCTAGAAAGCAAAGGAAACTTGTGCAGATGGAAGGGACATCTCCTCTACTTC